AGATAAAATATGGTCATCTTTTATCTCCACCCAGAGGTCTTGATTTTCATCTTTATTCAAAGTTAACAAAGCTAACCCAAAAATTAATTCAATGAAGGTGCTTAACAGGACAATAGCTGTAAATTCCTTCGAAATAGCTGGAGAAATTAAGGACTATTAAGACATGGAAATGATGGATCAGATAGGGTTTAAGTGATCATCTAATAGTTGCTAAGCCTAATTTAAATACAGGAAGAATATCACGTTTCATCAGCTTCCATCTTCAGATTTAAGAGCTTCTCAAGTCCTCATTTATACCTGAAGTGTCACTGGCACATACATTAAAGCTGACAAAATCCATTTACTGCAGCAAGCTGTTCGAGTTCATCTCCTTATTTTCTCCAATCATGTTAATTTTCCTTTAGTGTTCTTTGTTTATAAAAAAATAAATAAACAAGCACTTTGTGTTTATTACTCTGAAGTTCTTCCACAAACATTTATGTGCCTTTAGGAGCTGCACTTGTGAGCATTGCTGTCATTCAGTCCAATTGTTCTTTAAAATCCCCAACATCTCTGATCCTCTTGACACTGCTCCTCCCTATCTCGCAAAAAACTCAAACAAACCTCCAGCCTTATAATGCAATCTGCCCCCAAATAAACACATTTCTTTAAAGGATGCTCAAAGTCTTATGAAACTTGCAGCCATCTGATGTATAAACAGAAAATAAAATGAGAGCTTTATCTGAGGCTCCCAGGCATTACTGTTCAAGGAAAGTCATGCATCCTTTCTCATCCTCCCTCAGCCATGGGAAGAAACTCTGGAGAAGACAACCCACAACTTTTCCATCATCCTCATTAGAATCCTAAGTTTTTTCCCTAAGAAAAGTGGAACTTTTTCTGCTCCTGTCTGGGAAGCAGAGACAGCAACAACCTTATGACTTGATTCTTTGGTATCTAGCAGAGCACATGCTCCAAAGAAAGCTCAGCACTGGTCTCCTGCCCCTGCTTGGGCCCCAGGTCCCATGAAACCAATATCCTAACACATCTGCCACCTCACCTACCTGTGTGTGAGTCTGACCAGTTTGGAAACATGTTCTTGGGGAAGGACAGGAGGGAGTCAGACATAGAAAGAAATGTCATAGCAGCCTCATATCCTCAACACATTGATTAAAAAAAAAAAAAAAAAAAAAAAAAAAGTCTTTTTCAGGGTCTTTGAGTATTTCTCATTAAGGAAAGATTATTTTCCCCCAACATAGGCAAAGCCCTCCAAACCCATTTACTTTTCAGAGAATCATCCAGAGGGGTCAGACCAGCCCATCCCAACAGACAGATGTAGAAAAACAAGGAAACTTTTTAAATAGCGTCAATTCACCTCTGCATCTAAACCCCCTTGCTAGAAAAAGCACAGCACCTCACAACAGCTGAAACACTGGGCTGTGTCCCTCACTGCTGTTAATTAGCTGCCCTCTGTTGATTTATGCTGGCTGTCGTCTGCTCCATCCAGCCGTGTTTTCAGTGCTGTTAAGAACACACTCCTGGTAAAAAGCTTCAGAAATTCCCTGTGGTAACATGACCATTTCTCATCTGGGTATCCTATCTGCAGGTATAAATCCCACTGTCTCTGCACCAGTACCCCACAGCCATCCCTGGCACCCCAGTACCCACCCCCAGTCCCTTTGCAAGGCTCTGTTTTCTTCCTTTTGTTGCTTTTTCCTTGTAGTCTTACCTTTGCCCAAACCCACCTGTCACTTAAAGGGAGTCCTGCTCCTCTCTCCTCTGTCTTCACATCTTCTTCCTTGGGAAGTCAGCAATCAGGTGAACTTGAAAATGCTGGAATTTTTCACCCTCAAAGATCTGTACAGTAGGTTAAATCTTTTCTTTTAATTTACCTCCTGGTGGTTGTACTTTGTGAATGAAAGCCTACAAGGGACCCGAGCAGTGGGCATCTCTACCAGCCATACTTCACGCCATGCATTGCTTTGAGCAGAGACCAAACTCTAAAGCCTTATACTGCATCCCATGTCTCATTATTTGTGCCTGTGGCTATGGCTTAAAGCAGTGGTGCATTCCCACCTTCTCTATCACCTCTACATGTTGTCTACATATAAATCTCAGTTCTCCAAAACATTCATTTCTGTCTCAAGCCTGAGCTTGCCCCTTCCTCTCGCACAACAAGCCTTGCTGGGATCTCTCTTTCAGACCACATGTGTGAGAACACATTTTGCTTGCAAAAACAATGCTGCTAGGGGACAGTTCATCTCACTCACAAGGGGAAAGAAATATGAAACAAAATCAAAACAAAACCCACCAAATAGAGGGATCTTGTTGCCCCTTAACTATTTTCCTTCCGACCATCACCTCTTTCCTTTCTTTTTTTTCCCCCCCTGTATTTATTCACTGCTCTTCTCTTCCTGCTATCTCCAAAAGCTGTTATGCTCAGATCACATGTAGATCTATCTACATGTCTGAAGATAAGCACCAACAGAAGTGCTCATAAAATCAGCACCCTGACAAGATGAGGTCATTTCACACACGCTGTTTGTTTCCTGCTATACTGGGGAATTTACAGTGGCTGCTGGCCGCTATAAATACTGAACCATCAAGACAGCTTTTTCATATATTTCACTGCAATAGTCATTGCTGCATTTTTGTCCTAAGAGTAATTTGATTTGTTGTAATTGATTTGGGTGGGTTTTCATTCTTAATTAACTGCTGTTATGACGCAATGATGCAATCCTTGTTCACAAACCAGAAATTAAATTCAGAGCAGGGTAATAGCAAGAGGATGGAGGAGATCCTTACCTGCCAGGAAGGTGAAGCAGTGGACTGAGGAGCCAATTAGCCACGGTGTTGATTGGTATGCTCTCATTAGTGGTGTGAGGGGACAAGCTCAATCTTCTCAGGCTTGTGGCCAGCACCCTGCAAAATTCATTTCTTTGTAAGTCTCAGTAAGAAGGACATATATCAATAAGAACTCCCTAGTGCTGTTTTGGCAGACCCTGCCTTTTGCTGGCAGTTGGGCAAATCTGCCCATCACTGGGTCATGCAGTGGAAAGCTGAGGCCATGGAACTTTACAAGCACACATTCACTGCCACCTCAGCAAAATCCTCACTCGCAGTCAGAGCCCCCAGCTGCTCATGGACACAAGGATGCAGGGCAGAAGCATCTCCCACCATCAGTCTGTCAGTCAGGCCAATGCACTTACCTTTGTTACCTGGAATTTTTGCTGTTAAATCTCTATTAAGATTGCTTAAAATTTCTTAGCTGGAGCCCTTTTCAGTTGCTAACCTTGGTTTTGGGAGTGGACCAAAACCAGGAGTCACACAAATTCTTCCGGAATACATTAACTCTGAGCGTTATTTCAGAGATTCCTTTTGAAAAGATTGTTGTACAAGTCAGAAGGTTCTGTAAGCTCAGACTTGAGATGAAAGGACTTTATTGGCGGCACTCTAAAATTCTCCACTGTTTTTTAATGCTGTTGCAGCTGCTACTGTATTGATACAAGGTGTGTTCTGTTAATCTTCTCCTGATATTTCCACTTCGATCAGATAAAAGCAAATGCAAAAGCACTTGTGTATATCACTTGAGGAACTAAACTAGGTATTATTGATCACCAACAGCACCTAGTTCCCCCTTTTTTTAACCCCATGGAGAAACCAGTCAGTGAAAACTAGGTGTCTTAGTCAAACCAGAAAAGGTGTGCATTTGGCAATGATTGCATAGTTTTTGACACCCTATGGTTCCAATGCTGTGGGTTGTCATTCTTTTGTGCAGAAAAAGCCCTAAGATAGTTTTTATGATGCACCATGGTCAGGATGTTCATGATGCCACTGACCTCTCTCCCTGCTCAGGAGCCAAGAGTGGCTACACAGACAAAGCCACGTAATTCATGTATCTGATCTTTCCTGTTCAGCCCAGAACTGCAGCTTCCATAAAGTAAAAGAGAAGTATTTATAAATTAATTTATTTGTGGATTTAAGCCACAATATTTCTCTTTCCCACTAGAACATTCTAATACACCATTTTCCACAGGGGAAAAAATAATCTTGCTGAAAAAAGCCCCACAATACTTTTGTAATCTTTCCTAATAACTAGCTCTGGGCACAATTGTCCTTTGCCTAGAATGAAAACCATTATGGAAGTTATTTTTCCTCTAGTTTCAAACAGATAAGCTGAGCTGAGATAAGATAATGGTAAGTTTTCCACAAAACACAGCCTCCAGGAAATTATCCATTTTTAACTTCCATGGGGTTGTCCAGGTGAAGAGTAGACAATTGTCCTCATTTGAAACATTAATGGACTTAAAAGAAAGAAGTAGTAACATTAACAAACTATTCAAGCTGTGTGTTGTAAGGAGCACAAATTATGCTTTCCTCTTGGAAAAATATCTCTTCTGATCTTGGTTTTCAAAATGTGGTGTTTTTGTGAAGGAGTCACAGAATAAATAAATGCGGACACTCCTGCTCTGTTTCGAACCTGAAAAAATGCTGCTTAAGTAAGAGGAAACCCTTGCATCTCCAATGAGAAGCTGATCCTCTCTTCTTATTTCCTTTTGCTCCTCCAATTCCTTGATACCAGATGGCCACACAGGTGTTAATAATATTCCCAGCATGCCCAATAGCAATACTGAGGAGATCTATATGCTGCTATTTACATTAATTGGCAACATTGCCCCAATGGACAAGCTATTATCTTCCTGAGCTTTAGTTGTCTCTGTCTGAATACTTATCTTTATCCAAACGGTAAAGTCAAGGTCCCACTCTATTGTTTTCTACCACAGAGGCTGATTTATTTGATAATGTGGTTTCAAACACAATCTCTTCCTAAATTATCCTATCCATTCCATTATTTCTTTTCTATTATCCTGAAAGTCCAAAAGACTAGGTAAAAAAATTAGGTGCCAAATTCACTGTAAGTTTAGGAACTCGGACTGACACCTCTAAATCCCTTTGATGAGATTTTGTGATGTCATTCTGTCTTTCCAATTAACTTGGAGTGGTGTACTGGTGATAAAAAGATTTGGTCAGTATTTGTCTTCCAGATATTGAGTAAATACAAATCTCTCTACTTCATCTACACTTAGTCTTTGTTGCAGAAGCAATGAATATTTTTTATTTGATAAAGGTCATGCTTACTTTCTTTCCATGCCAAAAAGACACATTCTGTATGTGTGGAAAGTGTCATAACTGAAGAAAAAATAAAATAGTCTGGAACAGGGACTAGTCAAAAATGCTCTTGGGGAAAGCAGTTACATTTATATTATCAGGACAGGCAAGTCTTTTAATGCTGTGATACTGTCATAGCAATTCAAAGCTAAGCCACTTTATAAATATTAAATTCCTAAGGAAATAGAAATTCATGGTGTACTAGTTTCAGAATGTTACTTCCACCTGTCACTTAGATCCTGAACGTACGGTCTCTGAACAGCAAAGGACTTTCCAACATTAAGATGTAGGTGTCAGGTATTTCCTTGTAGCTATGTTTAAGAAGATAAATTTTTTTTGTGTTGCTCTGCTTTTCTCCTGAAGGACATGTAAACTGCTTTCCTCTCAGCATCATCCTCTGCTCACAAGGTGTGATCTGTGGCCCTCTTCTGCTGTTGCATATCTCAATTAACATCTAACACCCAAGTATTAGCAATAAATGATAAAAAAAATCTCTCCTGGTTATTCAAGGAACATTATTTGAGACTAACACTCTTTGTTGAGCAGTGCTCAAGGCCAAAAAGCAAACCCACTTTATCTGGTTAGCATAATAGCGGCCAGGCTGGAGTGTGGATCCTGCAACTCTGCACCCTTGGCCCTGTTCACTAGACTTTGCTCAAGACAAGCCATTACAGAACAGGCAGAAAGGCTGGCAAAATTACAGCTTGAAATTTCTGCAAAAATACCTATGGCACCATCCCAGAAACAGAGTGGTACAGAAACATCCTTTAGTTGTCATATGTCTAGAGGTACTCGTAAGGGGACCTCTGATTTCTTGCCTGAGCAGCACGTGAGCACCTGCCCGAAGAACAGCTCTTAAAAGCCTCATCCAACTCGTGTCTTTCACTAACACAGCCCCCAGGTACACTTAGTTTGTCCCTTTCACATATTCACCCTGAAGGACTCAGTCTATTTGTCTATGTTGTGCTGAGTGAAACCCTTTGTTACTGCCTTGAAAGCTGTGAAATAATGCTTTACTACTTCTTGTCTGGGGTGAGAGCCTTTCTCAACTTTCAGGCAACATCTTGCAGACAACCAAGGAGAGAGATCTGTGTGCTCAACATCTTGTAATAACTTGAAATCTTTGCCTCGAACCCACAGCTTTCTCAAGAGCAGGGTCACTGTACTGAAACAGAAGAGAGCAAAGCCCCAAGCTATCAAGCAGAGTACAAGCAGATTAGGAAGAAATGAAATTCATCAATACAGTGCCCTCTTGGTCAAAAGTTCACTAAGAGAGAAGGGAGCTGTACAATGCACCCATCTCCTTTTAATTGGCTTGAAGCTGCTTCCTACCATGCTCAAGCAGATGTGGTGTCAGTGGAAGCCATGCTAAGGCAGAAACTTTTAATTATTTTAAAATAGCCTGCTTCATCTTGAGGAGCTGTGGTTAGGACTTCACAGGGAGAGAGAGAAAACAGAAAAAAAAAAAATAAAAGAGAGTGAGAATCAGCTAATATTCTCTGCAGTAAATCTCTCTGGAATTTACTTCCAAAACTCTTGTGCCCAGAGTTTATTAATGCAAAGGTAAGTTGTTCAGTAGCACATGAGAAGAAATAAAAAATGCTGTCAACATTTTTGAAACCACACATATTTGTGGCTGAATCATTGTGTGATTACGTGGGATTTATTTATGTCCTTAACAAAAAAATTGCATCTGTCAGGAGGGAAAAAAACAGGAAACATAGAGTCTATAACAAACGACAAAACAACTGGCTGTGGATTGGATATTTGAACCATTAGTTATAATGCAGAAGTTAGACTGAAATACTATCACATATAGATGACAACTATTATTCTTGGGCAGACATGATCTCTCCTAGATAACTGATGGACAAACAAACAGTAGCTAAGTTAATTAAACCTGTTGCTCACCATGAGTAGGTCTGCAGTGGATAACATGGGTTAAAATAATTTTCATTACCTTCAATCTTCCAAAGTATTATGTGGGGAAGCAGAGGGGGACATGCACTTTTGCTGAGGTGCAGATGCTGTTCTCTGAGCCTCTCCTTCCCTCTGAGAAGGGCTGTGTGTGATCGGAGAGGGGGTGCTACCACAAGGCAAAGATGTGTTTGAGCTCTGAGTCCTGGGTGGCAGGGAGAGTCCAGAAGAAACTAAAATAATTGAAATGTGAAAAAAAAAAAAAAAAGCTTAAAAAAAAAAAATCTTTGAAGACAGAGAAAATAACTTTGTGGCTCTTTTTGCAATCAGGAAGCAACAAAAAGCTGCTGGTCAGAAAGAAAACCCTCTGCAACAACATCTTATACAGGGCAGAAATATTTTTATAAACTTTTTGTTGACTGAATTTTCTCTTTTAAAGTGCAATAGTTGTAGTTCCACATCTAACAAAGCCTAAAAGCTGAAAATAAAAGTCCCAGGATGTGCCTGGGATGTGTTCTTTTAAACCTATAGTTCTGGAAGACCCATCTTAGAGATGAGACCATTGTGGAATGGATCACAGGCCCATGATATGTTCATGTGGCAAGTATGAAACTTTGCTACTGGTTCCCCATGTAATGATGAATATCTGTAGGTCTTACCATGGACTATAGTGTGTGACAAATGTAGAGTTAATAAATGTTAAAAGGCAAAACCAACTTTCACTCTACTATGCTGTTAAGTTTTCACGTATTGATTTGGCATTTCTCTCAAACATTTTATCAACCCAACCTTCTTGGCACTGTGAAATTAAGCCACAGCTGATACCCTCTGGTAAAACACAGCTCCAAGTCCTACGTTGTTCTGATACCTATAAGCAATAGACTGTAAAAAATGTGTTTACTGTTGGAATAACTTACCTCCCACTGGTGCTACAGGGCTTTATATCCTTGAGTTCAAAAAGAGATTGAGACTAGCCCAGTGAACTTTGATAGATCCCAGCCTACCTTTGTTGTCAGTTTTATTAAGCAAGAGTGAGATCAGAGGAAAGACTTATTGTTAATCAAATATTGATGTATTACAATAAAAAAAAAAATCTGGCCAATTATGATGACCTGTTTGTCGTGTTTTTGCAGGGCTCCTCTTGGTAGCTGTGCCTGCTGGGATTCAGTTTAGCACATCAAAGTGTCTGTCAGGATCAGCATTTCTTCATAATGCTAACAGCATCAGTTGAACACTAACTCCCCTTCAGTGCACATGTGTGGAGCATCCTAGAAAAACATTTCTAAAAAAAAAAAAAAAAAAGACAAATTTGTACTGGAAGGGGAAATAAAACAGAAAAAAACCAGGAAAAATCCCTGATGGCTAGAACCTAACTAACCTGACAAAATTAATGAGCACTTGCTACAAAGTCTCCATGGATTCTTTCCCATGACAAATACCCTCCTTTTAAAGCCCAGAAGTTCCCTGTAATGTTCTGCTTTTTGGCAGCATGATGAAGCCCTGTACCTTCTCAGACAAGTACCTGCAAATGACCCCATAACAGACACCTTCAGGCACGCCCTTCTGCACTCTGCAGACCATCTTGTCTATCCAGATGGAGGAGAAGGTGCTCTCCTCCCCGTGGGCTGGCCATCCTGACACCACATGAAGTTGCCAGCTGTGCTGAGGCACCCAGATGGGTCTTGGATGGTCTCGAGGTACATGCAGCGATGCCTGAGCCCAGACTCGTAGCTCACACATCTGTTCTGAGCACAAATGTCCTTTCAAAGATGGCCCTGGTGGCATGGGGGGACTGGGCCAAGAGCAGCCCTTGCCTAATGTGTCAAGTGCAGAATGTCCTTAAGAACTTCGAGAATTAGGGCGTTGCTTGCCACTGAACACGCTCATAACCATCCTGAAAGCTTAGCTGCTCAATGCTATAAATAACTAGTTTCCCTTTTCCCCTGTGACTGTTACTGCATTTCTTTAAGCTTCTCAGTTTAAAATAAGCACAGACAAAAACAATGTGCTCAAAGGTGCCAAACTGTACATAAGGGAAAGGCATGTGCAAGAGTGCAAGCTATTCCTGAAAGTCTGACAGACTCACGCAATGTTTCCCTTAGTTTAATAATAAATAATCATAACACTCAAAGCACACGTATTACATTAACAAGCACTGGATGACACAAAAAAAAAAGATGCTCCTTTTTTTTTGGCTGCTGAGACTTAGTTACACAAATGACTTGCCAGAACTGACAGCCAGAAAGAAGAATGGATGCATCTTCCTGGATGTTGTGGGCCTTTCATCTAATCTCTGACTACTGCAGGTGCCTCTCATTTCTCTACTCTCTTCTTTTGACCCATTTAGGTTGATATGGCTTCTGGAGTTATGTGATAAGGATCACTAGGGTAGATGGAGAGATTGCAGCTGAGTGAGGACCTTCTAACCCAGAAGAGAATCCAATACCTTGGCCAAGGTGCAGCTGAGGCCAGAAGTCTGAGCAGTAAGGATGGCTGGAGGTCATCCAGTGGTCAGGAATGGTCAGGGACCTTCAAAAGGCATCAAGAAAGGAGCAAGGCAAACACACACTCTTGGTAAAGGGAAACCATGGAGAATACAGTATAAATAAGTCAAAAATAACACAAATAAACCAGGTATGAGAAAGAACAAGCCTTCAGCAGCGGAAAGCAACAATAAAGACAGATCTACAGAAATGCAGCTATAACCAAGTAGTGGATTGAGCAGCCCAGAGGAATTGCTCTTGCCAAGGGAAGTTTTGTCAGACTTAATGGACAAGAGACACAGCATTTCAGGCTCCCAGGTTCTTTGTTCTCTCAAGTTGTGGAGCTTTGTAGATCAGCCCATAAGCAGATGGCTCCTGGCCCCTTTGGACAGAACATCTGTTATCCATGACAGCAGAATTACTGACTGGTCTGTGACTAGGTTGTGTCACTGGTTGAATTTCAATCCACAGAGCTGTGTTGCTGTTACTCTGAATATTCACTGAAGGCAAACACATCACAATTCACTCTTGTTCTTGTTCCACATCTTCTCACGTTCTTTACGGTCTCAGAGATCCTGGGAGCATGCAGCAGTTGCTGCTCCCAACTCACCTTCCTTTTCTTTTCCTTCTGACTTTTCTTCCAGCTCTAGAAATTGGTGTGGCCATCTTCTTTTGCTCCACACATATGGCTTTGCATTTTGTTAGGCAGAAAAGCCTGCTGGCATTAATGTTGAGTTTCTTTTATTCAGCTGTTTTCCACTCCCATATGTACAAAAGCTGCTTTCAATTCTCACCTCTCATTCTGATGCTTATATATGCCTCTGCTTTTCTGAGTTATACTTGCTTTATGACCTTCTGCTCAGTCAAAAAGTTGGCAGGTATTTGCTGTGTTCCTGTGAGGAATATTTCGCTTATCTTCAGCAAAACTGCCCTGGAGATTTTTATCTGGATTGCAGGAGATTTTTATCTGGATTATACCTATGAACATGTTGTCCCTGTGAAAGATTTGGGAGAATTTTCACTAGTGATGGACTGCTTTCTGGGTCTGGATTTCTCAGTCAGTTTCAGTAGTTCATGAGTAATGAAGACTTGCCTCAAACAACAGAGACCATCAGGTGTGGAGGAGAACACTTCAGAGAGGAAGTGAGGGAAGCAGGAATAGTTTTGCCTTCAGAAATGAATGCTGAGAGTAATATCATACTCTGACACTTTACTGGCCACAGCTGGAAAACATTCTGCTGCTTTTTAAATATGAAAGTCATTGTATAGTTATATTTCATAATCATGCATGCCTTACATTTTTAACATTGCCGGGAAGACTGTTTAAATGTCTTAGCGCAGAGGGAGTGTTTGCCATAATAATGTCTCCTGAAGAGACATAGCCCACAAAGCTCAGGATGGTCTTTGCTGCCAGCTGTCCTTTTAGCAAATGAATCCCCATCTCTGTGGGGTGAGGGCTGTGCTGGAAGAATTTCATAGAAGGATCAGAAGATATTTCTCCACCAGAATTACAGTTAAATAAAATTTGGTGTAAACTCAGTCTGTCTAACTTAAACACCAGCTCCTCAGATTTGCTAACTAGTTTGTCATAGTTATCATAGTTACACACACACACATGGTGCTTTGTATAATTCTTTAAAACCTTTTAAATTACTGAGAACAAAAATAGTACATTGAAATTCAGATTTTGCAATCAGAGCTTCTAACAGTACTGCTTCCCTGCTGATTTCATACCATTTATGCTCAGTTGTACCTTCCTGCTTTTATATAAGAAAGCATGAGCACTATTGTACACTAGGTTTAGATAATGCTTTGAATATAAACCTGACCAGACAGGAAGCTTGTACACATTTCATGGTGGGTCTGAAGGTCTTGAGCCATAGTGTGGAGCATGACCGGACCCCACCGGGTAATTTTTATAAAAATGGAATCCCATCGTTTTGGGTTCCCTCACCTTCGTACTAAACTAAATTTAAGCTTTTCCTGCATGCAGCCTTATGGATACAGCATTCTTCTAAGTCTTCTTTATATTCTTTAGTCTGAATCAGGGCAATTTTTCTCTTTGGATGACTGCAACTCAGAGGGGAAGGGTCTGAACCTGCTTCTTTTTTTTCATCCAAAGCTGGTGTGCTAAACCCCATGAGTTTAAGAAAACAGAAATATGTGGAAACATGACTAAAAGAAATACATAGCTCAAAAAAGTTATGATGTGGCATGACATCATATTCTCACAGCAACTAATTCAATCAGAAATGTTCCTATTGGTCCCTATATGGTTTGGCTGAGGGCACCTCCTGTAAGCATCAAAGGTGGTTATTGAATTGCAGACCATGAAATCATTTCTTTGGTGCAGCACAGGTGCCACTGCAGTAAATCAGGATATCTCCATGTAATTTCTAATCTAACCCAAGGTGTCCCCTTGTTTCTGTTACTTATTAAGCTGAAGGGTGAAATGCAGATATTTTCAGGGTGGGATGTGTACTATATTGAGTAGCCCACAAATGTTTGCTTGCATCCCTTGGGTATTCACCCAATGGCAGATCTGTACTTTCCATTTGGATCTGACCCACCTCTGAGAAATTTGCCTGGCCATGACTCTCAGCTGGGTTCCCCATTTCAGTCAAAAGCAGCTACACTCTAAAAGCCATCCAAATTTGTTGGGAAAAAGACTCCACATTCTGCCTTAAATAAGTTACACAGAGGGAAAAACGCAGCCCAGGTCTTTCATCATTTGTTCACGTTGTACAGACAGGAGTCCTTAGCATGCTGGAGCAGAGATTGGAGTACCAGGATTTTACAAAGTCAGAGTAAATTAGAAAGAAAATGGATAAAATCCCCTCGTAGTTCACTGTTAAAGAATAATCATACAGCATCTGCCTTCATGTCTATAGCTGCATTACAATGAAGGACACAATCAGTCTCTCAAACATACATTGCTAGTTTGGCTTATCATCTCCTACCTCTCAAACTCATCTTTCTGCCTCTATTAAGTAGTTTTCCATTGGCATTTTCTGTTCTTTTTCAATACACCAGGAGCTTTTGATGACATTGGCTGTTACAGGACTTTCAAAACTCCATCTTTTTTAATATGAGGACAATCTGACTTTCTGATACCTTTTCTTCTGCCTTTATCCTTACATGGTGCAAGTTTTTTAAAAGGACTGGATTTCTCTTAAAGGATTTCTTTGGAGTTCCAGTCTGCTTCTGTAAAGCCCAGAAAGCATAGGCTGGGAGGAAGAAGAGGGTATTGCTGAATACGAGCCTTTTTTGAAATTTGCCCTCTCTTAGGGTGGGGAGGTGAGGTGAGCTGATATGCTGGAGTATTTTTAAAACCTCAGGGACACAAAACTTTGCATTGAATGACATTTTTTAATGGGATCTTCTGCCTGTGAAGCACCTGTAACCTCTCCTTCTAATTTAACCCTCATTTTACCTCATGTATTTATTTGCTTATTTTATCTAGCTTTTGTCTCTTTAACATCACCTATTATGAGGAAGGTTGCTAACCTGTTATAGATCAGTTGAGTCATTATACTCACCCTCACCTGCCCTTAATAATATTGCAACTCTGTAACTAGGAGTATGTCATTCTAGACTTCATTTCCCAGATATTTTCTTGTCACAATGCTGTAACAAAACTGCCCAGCTGCTTTCAAGCAGTCAAGGTTTACATGTTGGATCACAAAAAACAAAAGGCAGAGTCTCCATAAGATTGCCACCCCATTCTTCTTTAGGTTCACAATGGCACTAAAAGGAAAACACACAGGATTTTCCAAGGCTGTAGCTCTTCTTCCTCATGTG